GCTGCCCGCGCCGCCGCTGACCAGTCGTACCTGTCCCTGTCCCCGCCTTCCCCAGATGACGGCTCGTCCGACAGGCGGTCCGACGCCTCCAGCGACCGACGGTCTGACGGCTCGACGGAAAGGCGGTCGGACGCGAGGTCGGACGCGAGGTCGGACGGGAGGTCGGATGGCTCCGGATCCGGGTCGGCCTCTGGGGACCGGCGCTCGGACGGCGACGGCGCGGCCACGGGACCGTCGACGGCTTACGTCAACGTTCAGCCGCCGCCCGCGCCCAAGGCGTCGCCCAACGGACTGCCGCCCACGTCGTCGTCGACCAGGAAAAAGGAATCCGTGAAGAGGAATGGGACGGACGCCGGCGACTCCAACACGTGAGTTCCCTGCTCTTCCCTGACTAACAAGCCCTGTCTCGCGCCACTGCACCCCCATGTGACCCGTCCCTGTGCATCCCTCGGGCAGGTGTCCCACCCCGCGCAGCGCCCCAAGCGACCGCAGCAGCCGGTCCCAGCGCGGCCCTGCCGCCTCCGCCTCCGCCTCCGCCTCCGCCTCCGCCTCCGCGACCTCGCGGCTCGGGCCCGGATTCGGCCCCGGCCCCGGCCCCGGCGGCACGCGCTCGCTGCCCAGCTCCCTGCCGCTGCCCCTGCGCGCGCCCAGCAGCGAACACATCTACGAGACCATCCCGGAGTCCGACTCGGAGCACATCTACTGCGAGCCGTACGAGCCGTCCGCTGAGTACACCAACGTGCAGCCCCTGTTCACGCTGCAGCTCAGGAAGGAGGTGAGTCGCGACGTAGAACACGAGCTTTTAGCCAGGGTGCAATAGAGGATATGCAAACCACAAACCGTGCCTGGCCCGACGTGGACTTCACGCTGTCCCTCTCCTCTAAACTGTCCAGGGTCGCGAGGACAGGGCCACGCTCCGGCTGGGTCCTTCGGGTCCGCTGGGCCTGTCGCTGCCATCGGCGCGTCCGCAGGCCAGCAGCTCCGGCGGCTCGAGTGGCGGCTCCAGCGGCGGCTCGTGCTCCACCATGTACACCAACGCGGCCAACCTGCAGCACACCATCGAGGTAGGCGCGGCGGCCGCACAGCCGCTTCCTCCGCTTCAACTGCGCCTCGGACATCATGGTCTCACGTTACGATGCGCCTTGTCGTTGTGTTCGCAGGTCCAGCAGGAGCTGTTCCGGCAGAGCCTGAGGCAGACCACGCCGACGTCATCTAGCCGACCCCAGCTCCCGCTGCCGTCCCCGTCCGGTAGGCACCGCGGCACGCACCCCAGCGCGCATCCCAGCGCGCACCCCGGTGCCCCCGGTGCCCCTGGCGCCCCCTGCGCCCCCGGCACCCTGCCACAGACGCTTCCCGCCCTGGCCTTCCCCTTCCCACCGCCGCCGCCCGCCCCCAGCGACGCCAAGATGGAGTGGAAGGTGAAGCGGCGAGCGGACGGATCGAGGTACATCACTAGGAGGCCCGTGAGGACGCGGGTGATCCGGGAGGCGCTGAGGGACCGGGCGGCGCAGCTACGCGACGAGCGGGCGGGCTTCTCCACCGAGGACGATACGGCGTCCGAGCTCAAGGTAAGGAGAGGATGCGATGTACGTACCCCGGATTTGCCATGCGTCAGAAAAAATTTGGGAGATGTTGGGATTTTTATTTTTTGTTGGCATAGAAAAGGTCAGTGTGTCATGGATTTGGGCTATAGTCGCCATCTAAAGCCTTTTTGTTTTGCTCTCCTTTTGCATCCTAATGTGCTTTTTCTTCCTGACAATTTGTTTGAAACGCGTGGGTAAATTCGGATATTTGTCGTGTTTTCTTTTTGTGGTACTTCTGAGTACAGCTTTTCAGCTTACGGCAAGTATGAGGTTTATCACATCTTTGTTTTGTTCTTGGCAGATGGGTCGTTATTGGACCAAAGCAGAGCGGAAACAACACGTTCGAAGGAAGAGGCAGCAAGAGATACTACAGGTGGAGCAGCCCAAGCCACAACCAAAGCAAAGTCAGTTAAATGAGGAAGACGCTGGTCGTCGCCCCCTCAACACAGTAGATCTTAGTCACAAAAAGATGACCCGCAAGAAGAGCAACGTTGATGATTTTACTGCTGTACAAGAACTGCTAGCTAAGGGAAGCACAGCTAGTACAAATGCTAAACTGTTAGGACTTTTGTCAGTGACGACAGTGTGATAAAGATTATTTCTAGTTTATCCAAAAAGAAACGGTCCACTTCCTTAAAAAGAGTTATTAATAAGAATGGATCTTCATTTCCTATTTATTAAGGAGTTTATTTTCATTTATTCTTATGTACATTCCCTGTTTCTTAGTTGAAACATTTGTGTGCATTATTAAAAGTGCCTTTGCGGAAATGTATTGAAAATCTCAGCTTCAAAGCTGACTTATAATGCTTTATTTTTCTTCTCCAAGTACCGCAGTATCACATTCAGTTGGCACTAAACAATTGAACATGCACATTTCCAAAGCTCTCTTTTCTTTTCCCTGCCCAAAATTTCTTGTTCAATCTTTCTCATTGTTCGGTACAAGACTTTTTCATATTAAAAATGCATTTTGCATTGATGTTGAATTGAGTAAGAATAATGAAGAGACATCTGAGATGCAATCCCTTCAGTTTACCAATATATTGCAGTTTTCTCCCAAAGGTCATTACCTCAGACACCATATGTAGTCACAACAGCCTTGCCATAGCTCTTTCTCTAACAGTTGTTCAGTGACACTCTAGGCAACTCTAGGTAATTGTAAAAATTGTACAGTCTTAGTGGTAAAAATGTGATTGTGATTAAAGACCTTTACTGTTAATGTTCTCTAATTTGCTGTACATTTAAGCCAATCTTGGCACTGTGAAACCCCTTTTATATTAGCCACAATTTTAGTCAGTAAGTTATTTTGTACATTTTTGAAGAAAGTTCTGAGATATCATATAGTTAAATAGTCAAAGCAGAAAAAGCTCTATGTCACTCCAAAAATACTTAATCTGTATTTGCTGAGAAATGTTACCACAAGATTTTTTAATTAGTAAACAATAAATAGTGAAAGAATGTAATTCTTTCATTATTTGATGCTCCCTCACACCTTGACAATTGACAAAAATGCACAAAACCTGTACTAAATTGGCCAAAAACTGAAGAATTAAATATGACATAATTTTTTAGTTTTGGTGTTGTTAGGCTAATAAGGATAGGTTCCACCCAAGTAACGTCCCATTTCTTTCTGTGGAATTTACGTATACACTTCACTCCTGCATTATGAGGTGAGCAAAGAGTGGTGAGGAATAGGTAAGGAAAAAGAAAAGAAAGTTGTGTACAGGAGAAATAACTTACTTTATTATCACAGAAATTGTGCACACCCAACTTTTCTGTTGTTGTGTAAACAACAAGTCAGTAAATTGTCAAAGTAATTGACATTTTTATGGATTCCTCATATCAGTGTTGTCAAAGGAAGAGATTCAAAGTACAGTAATAGACTATTACTGAAAAGAAATGTTATTTGAGAGAGCCTTCCTTTCAAGGGAGACTAAAGTCATAAATAGAAATTGAAAGCATTCTCATTTAAGTTTAACTAAAATTAAACTTTGCATACTGGCAGTTTTGAATTTTCTGACAGCACTCACAACAAAATAACTCAAAGTGTCTAAAAATTGCTCTTGTGATTTGCCACAAAAAGTTACTCTACCGTTGCCTGAGCCCCACAAACTATTATCAATAAACAGAATATTAGCTTCAAAAAATACATTTCTGTACATTGTTAGTCATGTTCTTGCAGATAACCAAGTACAATAGCAAAATAGATGGGGAAATTGGGAAACTCTTCATTCCAAAATACCAAAGAAGCTTTTAAAAGGACATCTGACAATAATGCACAAGAATTGGCAAGTCACATAAATTTCATTAACAACTGCAACCCTCAAAAAGAAGGAAAGTACAGAGCTTTCTTAATAAAGCATTACAAAAATCAATTCACAGCAAAGAAAACGTTTACAATCTAAATATTTTCCTTCAATCAGAATACCACTTTAGTTGCTTTCAGAACCATGACTCAGACAGAAAGATACAAATTCTACTTAGAAAATGTATTATACCCGAGAGAGAGACTGTAACAGGTTACTGGGTAATGTGCCCTCGAGGCGTTCCATGATGAAGCTGAATGGTAACATCAGCCAGCTTAGAACCTAAAAGGAGAAGACCAGAAAAGAATCAATTATCTATTATAGTTAATATCTGTACATCCCACAAAGTCTTCGATTTAACTACAGTGCTAACTTCACTCATTTTATTAGTCTATTACCGTTCTAGCGATGGTACCCATATTGTCTGGGTACTGATGGGTTAAAAGAGCAAGAACTGCAGTGAATGAGCAGAGGCCAGCAGTGAAGAGAATAAAAAAAGGCAACTCTTTCTTGGGATACACACTCACATCATGAAAAGCTGTAGTCAAAAATTTGCATTTTATTATAAATATTCCAATAGTTGTTCAGAATAGTCTACATTGGAGTGTGACCATGAAATTACCTGGAAGCAGCTCCCGGTCTGCACATTCTGTACATGTAGGATAAGGGTAAAAGAGATGCCCTCTTTCAAGGGGATATGGTAGCATACGGAAAGTTCCTTCCCAAGTGCAGTGTAGTAGGTTGAGAGCTCCATCCACTGCTTTCCAGTGTCCAATATGGAAGAATGCATAAGACAATGCCTCAGAGTCACCCCTTTTCAGAATGTGTTCAGGAGGCAGTATCAGAGGTTTCATTTCAAGTAAGTACTGAAAACAAAACAAAAAACAGATCATGATTGATATTCTTTTAAAGTTAAAAATAATGATAAATTAAAATACAGTATTCAAGCAAAAAAAAATTAAATTTAAAACTACTCAGACTTGTGTCACTTGACTTAAAGAGGGTAAGTGAATATTATATTTAGAATGTAACTCTACAATAACCTGAATTAACACACACCTTTGGTACATGAGGATTAAATTCTACAGCTCTGTGGATAGCTTCAACAGCCGTCATTTCAGCAGCTGTTAGGCCTCTCTTGCTGGCAACATCAGGAGAAAATCTGAAAAATTGCAATTATTTAAAATAAGATTATTTATTCTGATTTATCTGTCAAATTTGATTGTTTTGATAATCCCTAAAATACATACTTATCAGCAACTAATCTTGCTTTCAAGAGCGCTGCTGTGTAACAAATAGTAGCTGATTTTGGTAGACTTATGTCATCATATTTTGCTAGGACTGCTTGGACATCAGCATATGCCTGCATTTCTAGGAGGGCTTCAATTAAGTTTTCATGAACGTTTAACACGTGCATGATAGGAGGCACCTCTTTGGTGAGCTGAAGCAAAACAAAAATTTTGAAATTTGATCTTAGACCAACTACTAGGTATTAAAGGAATTTTTTTTAGGGATTTGGATAATTAATTCTTACATCTCGGAACATTTTGACAGCTTCCTTATTCCGACCAAGCTTTCGGGCACACATGGCCAATCTTCTTTTAACATAAATTAGGACATTGGTGTCTCGTCCTGAAACAGACATAAAATTTTCTCATATACAATTGGTGGAAGAGTGAGGGAAAAGATGGAAAGCTGCACTGCAACTCACTGTGGATGCATTCCATGGCTGGACCTTGGTGTTGATTCTGTTGGCTTTTACGGTAATTACTTTCTGCTGTTTTAAGTGCTGAGCGTAAAATTTTCTCTGCTTCAAGAATTGTAGTTGCCTCTTCATCAGCAAGTAGAATGAGAGCTGGTGTACATTCAGGATTTAATTCAAGAGCTTCATGAGCTGCTTTAATGCGGGCAGATGGGTTACGCTCCCGCCAAGCTGTCTGCATCACTGTTAAAAAAGACAGTATCCAAATTT